GTGGGCCTGGGGGGGGGGGTTGGCTGACGTCTTGCCTATGTGTCCCCTCTCCCTCTGCAGGGCTCCTACTCCCTGCCAGCCAGCGACTTCATCCTGCCCGAAATGGAGCTGCCTGCCTGGATGACCAACGGCAACTACCGTGTCCGGGTGACCCTCAGCAGCAGCGGGGAGCAGCTCGCCTGCGTCAAGCTGGCCTTTGCCCTGCAGTCCCAGTGAGGGGTGGGGCCATCCCTCCTCTCCCCACCACCTTGGTCCCCTGTCCCATCCCATCCAATTGCACTCCATCTTGTCCCACCCCGTCCCTGTGAGGTGCATCCCTCCTGCTGCCAGGAGGAGACAGCCCCTGTACCCCCGCTTGATGCTCCCCTCCCCTGCGACACACAGCTCCCTCCAGATGTCCTGCTGTCCCCAACCCCATCACCAGGGTGTCCCCTGCCCTGGACAGGGTGGCCATGGAGCTAACCCCAGCCTTTCAGTATGACTTGGGGATAGTTTTTACTTAGTTCCTCTTTCTTTTTTTTTTTTTTTTTTTTTTTTTTTTTTTTTTTTTCTTTCTTAATCCCACCCAGGGAATTTTAGACAAAAACATACCAGTGAAAAGCAATATTTCTTGGAGCAGTCTGTGGGGAGAAGGGAGTGTTTGGGAGTGCTGGGGACAGGCTGGAGGAATGCAGGATTACTTGCAGAGAGCGTCCCCACTTGTCCCACCCCCTCCAGCTGGAGCACAGGGCTGTTTTGCAGAATTGTCCCCAGAGTGGCCGCAGGAGCCCTATCCCTCCTGTGACAGCCACCCTTGGCACATCCCTGTCCTGTGTGTGGGACCAGCTTGGCAAAACGAAGCACGTCCCTCCTGCGACAAACATCACAAGCACAACAGGACTGCGACTGCCTGAACCCCCAACGGACGTTCCAGCTCCCAAGGGACCAAGCGGCTGGTGCCGCTCCCAGCAGCAGGAGTGGTGGCTGGACACCAGATGTACTTGCTGTGGGGACACACACGGCAGTGACGTGCATCTGGGGCACAACCTGGCCGAGGACAAGTCCCACTCATCTCATTTTGTCACTGGGACTCGGACGAGGCAGGATGCTGCGCTGGGAACGTCCTTCCAGTGCATCGACAGGGGCACCCCCCCGTGTGGAGCAGCATCCTGGACACTGGGTGGACTGGGAGATGACCATGAAGACCAGCAGCCTGGGTCCTATCTGGGGACCCTGCAGCCCATCTCCTGGTTGTGGCTGGGGGCCAAGGATGCAGGTAGC